ATATATATATATATATATATATATATATATATATATATATATATATATATATATATATATATATATATATATATATATATATATATATAAAGTGTTATATCAAGCTAATGTTTTTTTTTCTTCCAAAATGGTCTCCAGGTCAGTGTGCTCCTCTCCTGCTCTTGATGAGAACAATGTGAGATGTTCAGTCATCTCTCTAGCACTGGTATATGAAAAATCTGCTCTTTTACAAGGCACAGAATGTCAGGGATGCCATAGGCGAAAGAAAACAGATCGAATAGAGCTGCAGAGATTGAAACTAGATACAGTGAGGATTAATAAAGAATAAACAGAAGATATGAGGAAATTGCGTTGGGGCATTTTTCGCAAACTGGTGTCATAACTGTTTAAATAAAAGATCACAGCCACATCTCTGATATTATATACTGTATATACTGTATACTGCATATACTGTATATAAAACCGCAAGATATTAAACATCCTAAAAACACGATATTAAAGTTACAAGCACATGACCATATCCTTCTAGAAGCTTCATCTGAATATTCCACTTTGAGCGTGAGGCTCCTGGTAAGGAGGCATGGCAGTAGGATTTGTCAGTTATTGGAAAAAGCTGAGACCTGTGTAGCGTCAGCATGGACTAAATCAGCAGCTGTCATTGCTAGTAATCCCACCTCTCTTTTTGTTGGGGCCCAGGGTCAGCACCGTACAAAGGGCCTGACCTACAACAGTCAATGGAGTAGGGGCCTAGCAGGACAGAATAAAGTGCTGGGTCAAAGCTGACTCATCATAGATCCTGGAAGCAGCCCTCAGCTGCCTGCAGAGAAGACAATACTGTTGTAGAGTTATGTAATACACCCGCTAGCTGTGAGGATGTACTCAGGCATTTCACATTTCAGTGCCTCGTGTTATCTTTCAGTTGGTGAAACAGCAACCCTCAGGTTAAAAAATAAGGTAAGATCTTTCAGCATGATAACCCAAAGCACGCTAGCAAAACAACTAAGCAGTGGCTGACAGGGAGGAATATGAATGTTCTTGAGAGGCCTAATCACTACACTGACCTGAATCCAGATTTAAACTTGAAACTCTCTGAACAACTTATGTCTAAATGTCTGTAAGGTTAGAAATATAATAATTCAAATATATGCTATAACGAGTTAATAATACGGTACTTATTTCAAAATAAATTTAGTGCTGGGTCAAAGCTGACTCATCATAGATCCTGGAAGCAGCCCTCAGCTGCCTGCAGAGAAGACAATACTGTTGTAGAGTTATGTAATACACCCGCTAGCTGTGAGGATGTACTCAGGCATTTCACATTTCAGTGCCTCGTGTTATCTTTCAGTTGGTGAAACAGCAACCCTCAGGTTAAAAAATAAGGTAAGATCTTTCAGCATGATAACCCAAAGCACGCTAGCAAAACAACTAAGCAGTGGCTGACAGGGAGGAATATGAATGTTCTTGAGAGGCCTAATCACTACACTGACCTGAATCCAGATTTAAACTTGAAACTCTCTGAACAACTTATGTCTAAATGGCTGTAAGGTTAGAAATATAATAATTCAAATATATGCTATAACGAGTTAATAATACGGTACTTATTTCAAAATAAATTGAAATGAACTACAGTAATATGTATTATTTTACACAGTTAATTTAATTAGTAGTATTCACTATAATGAATTTGAATGTATTTATATAAATTTAGGTTAATAATAAATTAATTAATTTTCATATTATCTTATTTTCTCCCCCCACACACACTTACATATAGCAAGAAGCAATTTGAAAGTAAAACCAGACCTGAGGGCTTTAAAGCAACAAAAATTCTACATTATCTTTTGATAAATGTAGTTCACGAGAAACACAGAGAGAGGTGGAGAGACGTTCTCCTGACCCCTCAGGCTCTGTCCTGTGCATGCGAGTCTACATTCTAAAACCCAATCAATAAACATAACACATGAATGACGCAACTACTAATGATTTTCTAAATATGTCATGACTGAGTTGCAAATCAATAATCAGTTTGTGGTCAAAATGAGTACGTAACCTCACACTTCACCTCAGGCAATGCAAATACCAATTTAACAATGGTCATAGATTAATAATATATTGTACGCTAAATAGTTTTATTTAATGGTTATTTTATTTTATATTTTAATGGTATTTTTTATTTTATTTTATCTTATTTTTTAAAAACTTTTTTTGTAGCATGCACGGTGTACAATTCCCCAATTTTTTTTTATATGTTTTGGCCAGTTTTAACATGAACCTCAGTTTATGTGTTAGTTTTTTTTAAGCGACCCTGCTGGGTAAAGTTTAGTACCTCACTTGGCCCCAAGGTCCTTTCTTGACCTTAGTGCCATCCGATAACCTGAGGTCAGAAGGTTAGCCCCTCTAAACCAAGCTGGCGTCTTGAAGTCGAACACCTTGAGGATTCAACCTTATCTTGAAATGATCAGCATCTTTAAAGCAACAAGGATGCAAAGTACTAAATGTGAAAAAGAAAAAAAAAAGAAAGGTTCTTATAGAGAATGGTCTAAATTAGATTTGTATGTGCGCACTAAATTAACATGTGTTTAGTATATGCATATGGAGAAGTTTCACTTAAAACCGTTTTCATTGACTCAATTTGTGTAACAGCTAGAACGGCCTGTGGGGGCGCTGTTGTTAGTGAGGGACCAGTATTGAAATTGTTTTGAATGTGTCCATATTTCAGGTCTTGCTGACTTTTTTAATTCTGAGCAGCAGACTGTTTGCTTTGATGCACTTTATATCAGCATAGTAAAGATTGATGGAATCATTATAGTGCTGCTTTGTTATGAATAAAACAGAAGTACAACAGAAATTATGGTTTTTAGACATTTATTTATTTCCAAGGAAGAACTAAGAGAAATGTTAAAACCATTATGAACATACATTTCATTCATTATTTAATGTTCACAATGATCTCTGAAATGAAATCACAATGAAATAAGACAAAATATACCACAGAGACAAAATAAACTCAAGAAATATTGCACTTAATTTATAAAACATACCATATTCCCACTAAAGGTGTTTCTTGACAAAGTCAAGAGTTTAGCTTTAACACTGGACTACACGGAAGGCCAAGCGTTAGACTATAGTATTGACCAACCACAAAAAGAAGCACTTTTCTCTTTGCGTTTAAGCTTATTCTTTCATTAGTGGCCAATTTTGGTTCAATTCTAAACTATAAAACACAACAGAGAAGCAGATCTCTGCTTCTTATAATCATCTCTTCAGTTCTGAAATGGGTCATCCATTTCTCTGAGGTGTGCTACAGCTATTGTTCCCATAATAATCGAGACAAGAGGATCTGTATAATGGTCGTTTGTCTGGAAAACAAACACTGAATGCCCAACAGTAATCATCAGAACTCATATCTGAAAAAACAAATTCAAAACCCATTCAACTCAAAAGTGGCATGATCAACACACGCTTTGAAGGACTTTTTGGTTTTCCCTTTTTGCCCTTTTAAACTAAACAGTTATCTCTAGGACTGAAATAAAACAGGATGATGATTATTGAGGATAGCATAAATGATAAAGCATGTTAAGATCAGTTCATCAAGGCCACTATGTTAAGACCACTTTGCTGTCGAATCATAAACCCCCTAACATTACAGATGAACATATAACAAACACGCTGTGTATGCAGACATGAGTAATTCTACAAATTCAAACAGTACTTCAACTATATACATTGGTAATTGTTTAAATTGTTTCTCCAGACCTCAACCAGACATGAGCAGTTTTATTTTAGTAAAAAAAAGTGCTTAATGAAGGCCAAGCATGATCAGAGCCTAAACTACTTCTGTAGTTGAATGAGTTTTAAAAACAAATGTACAACTCATTTCAACTGGATTCGGATGTCTCCGGATGTTTTGCTACCCAGCTTGGCTTTTCAAGCATTTGTGCCATCCTTTGGGTCACATCTGGCTTCACTGATCTGAAGAAACATTGTGGCTGCTGGAGCAGCAGGACAAAAAGGGAATGTCATAAGTCTTTGAAAGCTGCCTTGCATCTTTGTGCATATCTCCTCTCTTTATTGAATCTGTTTTTCAAAACTGAATCTGAAATTCTATAGACTATAGATCCTTCTATAGTCTCCTACCTTGAACTGAAACAGTGCAATCAAAACATAATCTACACCATTTTTGTTTTCATCATTTGGCAAGTGAGAAGATCACCTGAGACTGAGTGCTTTTTTCAAGCAGTGCAATCTTGAAGCCGGCACTGCTACACACGACAAACAGAAAGGCAACAAACTCTTCAGGCTGCCTGCCCAGACCCCACCCTGTTTTATCTCTCTGCTCCCATCACGCACATGAGTGGCATGAGCTGGACTGTTGCTCCTTGATCAAACAACACGTGCAACCAATTTAACACCAAGCAAACCACGTTTGGCTTAAAGGTATTCTACATTTAGAACTGAAAATAAAGTCCATGTGAACAGGAGAAAATCAAACAAAAGCCACACCCGGGTTACGAGTTGGTGAGGCAACGTCACAAGAGCGTCAAGACAGCATGTTACCATGAGCAGATTATCGACTGAGGAAACACAATCAATGAACACTACAGACCTCAAAAGAACTTGAACAAGATCAGTGCATTAAGTCAGTCCGTTCAGTCTTGTTATTCCTCGGAATCTTCTCTGCGTTGCTTGCGGCTCATGCAAGAGCCTGCAATCGCTTAGTCTAAAAGGCTAAAAACTGAAATAAAACAATCATTGATTTAAAAACGCAAGCGAGAAAAACGAACTTGTGCAAAAAAAAAATCGAAATCAAAAATCGCGTTTCTCTCAGCTGTACTGCGAATGGCTGCGGTCGTAGTGTTTTCTTGCATTTCTCTTCAGATCTCGGACAAGGTCTGCGTGTTCTTTGTCAACCTTTACCGAAAAGCATGAGAAAAGTGACTACTTTGACAAAGCTCTGCAGGCTAAGTCCGACAGGGCGTGTCCCATCACAGGGGCTGAATATCTGGGTCGGGTAATTTGCCAGTGACTCTCTGCGCCCTCACTTCTGGGTTTTCCCATAGAGGGTTGTTTTCTCTCGGTGGTGACAGCGACCAATCACTGTCATCGGGAGATAAACAAAAGTGAAAGCTCCTTAAGCCCATCGCTTTGGACTCATGCCATACATTTCTCAGCGTGACGGGCAGGTGTCGAGTCTGTGCTCTGCAGTTGATGTGGCTTGATCTGGATGTGGATCAATCTGATGGAGAGGGGAACAGAGAAACAGCCGTGAGATTAATGCACTTAAACATGGCTGAAAGCTTCACACCTTCCACCAAAACTAAACTAAAAGCTTACCTCGGAGTAGGGTGGAGGGGGTCGGAAGCGGAACTCTTGGATATAAGCGAATAGCGGGCCATCAAAGTTCTCCCGCCCTGATGACACTTCCAGACAGCTCTGCCTCTGATCGTCTGTGACCACCTCTGCATAGGCTGGAGGAGCTGCGTACAGCAAAAGCAAATGTTAATACTGTTACCATGCCAAACACGTTATAGGTTTCACCTTTGCACACAATGTGATCTACATGTCCTCTTTTGGTGTCTTATTCAAAGAAACGTTAAGCAACAAGTTAGAAGACTTCTACAGACTTTCCTATCTGTGTAATCTAAAAAAGTCAGATTCAAATCACATGACCTCCATCTTCATATATTGCAAACACCCCTTAAAACAAGTGGTACTAATTGACAACCTAGGAAACGTTCCTTACCTTCAGGCCTCTCAGGGAGGGCCAAGCCTAACCAGCTCATGGTCATGCTACACTGGCTGCTCACAGAAGATGTACGGCTACCGAAGGGGTGGAGAGGGATGGTGCCAATCACCAGGGGCAGGTTTAAAGACAGGTTCATGGCTCCTGGGATGTCTACATACACCTGATAATAAAAATATTGGGATATAAAATTAATCATTTCACAAACAGTGCACCTTTGTAAAAAAACGTTTCAGCATTTCCAGATCCAAATGCTCCTTCAGATCCTCAAAGCAAACAAACGGTTATAATATACAACCACAGTGTGCTGTCCTAACCTTTACCTCAATGCCAAAATCTCAGTTGGCCAGGAAGTAATTCATCTTTTCTTAACCATTAAAATACTTGTGTCCAGGATGCTGCGAGCTTAGAGACTGTAGTGTATACTGTGATTTTTAGAGTGCTAGACATGAAGAGTGCTCATAAACAGCTGTTGAAATGGTATTCTCACTTATAACAGAGTAGAGATTTGGACCAGGAAACAGTATTTAATAGGTCACAATTTATTAAGTGGATTCATTTATTTCAGAATACAAGGAGCCTGCTTAAAACAAGTAGGGATAACCCATTCATTGTACCAGAATATTTTCAATCACAGAAAAAGGCAAGAAAATAACATTATTTATGTATTCACAGCATATCAACAACGTTTCCTTAGAGCTGAATTAATTAAAATAGTAAACTCAGATCCTGGGTCCTGACTATTACACAGTAACAGATTGGTTTGAGGGGATAATAAGCCATTAACACTCAATGGCCTGAATTTCATCAGATATTTTGGGCTGATCTTCTTATCAGTATGTGCCGGAGAGTACTTGACATAATCTTATTATCATTCATAGTGCTGCGTGTGTGGAAAAGCAAGAGGGGCTGTCAAGGAAATGATCCTTCAGCTGCTTGAAATCGACATGGAAAACACTCATATAACTGAATTATTTGCATTTTTAAGCTACTGAGATGACCAGCACTTGTAGAGATGATCGGTAAGCTTATGTGCGCCCCATAAAACTTCAAAATCAATACAAACTATAAAAGCACATGACTTACCATGAGTGAGTATTCCACTCTAATGATACTGCAGTCAAGGATGGAGGGAGATACAGGGGGAATCTTCAGCATCTTTCCATTCCATGTCTCCGTCTTGCCAGAAGAAAGCGACTCCCCTCGGATGTTGGCCACCAACTGCTTGCATGCTTTCCTTCGAACGAGGTAGCCAGAGGTCTGCATGTGCGTGACACAGAGAACATTTGAATAAGAATTACAATATGCATTTCAAGTGAATCATTTTACCTGGGGCCATATCTGACCGACACTCACGTTTGTGGAAGCTCAAAGCTGAATGCATACTCGTGTCTTCCTGAATGAATAGTGGTGAGTCCCTCCTCAGAGTTATCATCATCTGAAACAGAAGAGAATAATATTCCAAATATACCTTACCTGCCAAAGCATTGATCATCTTCTTATTACATTATCTAATTTATTCAAACACATACACTTCTGCTAAATGCATAAATGTAAACACTTTGATAAAACAACAGTTGATTGATTCTCATACAGCCCAGCAAATCATGATATGCATCAATATTATGTTGTACCCAAGAATTATGAGCGTTTCATCACAAGTATAATGATTGCACTTTATGCACAGGTGTATTCAGTTTCAGTATTCATTCTGAATGGGAGAAAGAACTACTCATAAGATCCACTGCAGTTCACGTGAATCCTAAGGTAAATGTGAAACGAAATTCCAATGTTAAATAATTTGTTTGTGTAACACTAAAAAACACCGGCGACTTTCGTTTCGCCAGCTAAGCACTCAGCTTAGAGGAGCCATGGTAAACAGGCACGGAGCTGTCAATCAAGGGCAGACTCCAGCAAGAGAAGACCGGCCTAAACCGGAGCCGGCTGCTTCCCCGTGCAGGCGCGCTCATTACCCATTCGGTGTGCGGCAGCCTCCCATTGAATCTACGCGTGTGCTGCGGCGTGGACCTCAGGAGTATTCTCCCATTCAGCAAAAACACGTGAGAGAAATATGCCAAAAAACACACACCAGAAATCACAAACGACAGAAAACCGACCAGTTTCAATAACAAATGGACTTTTATTGTAACCAATCACTCATACAGAAGCAGCAAAGACAATTAGATATGACTTAGATTAGAATTTTACATGGGCATGAAATTACAACACGCATGCAACTAACAAGGTCATAACATGCACTATTTGATTTGTATACAAAGAGTTTCAACATTAGGCAAATATTGACTAGCTTTCCTGTACTAGAAGCCACCTCAGGCTAACAAAAACTTCTCAAAAAAAAAAAACCGACTGAATATGTAAAAGTTTCCCTTCAATGGATGATGGACAGAAATGCTTTGAAACTTCTTTCTGCTTTGGATTTATACATGTTATTAGATTAAGACCCTCACCCCCTTTTTATTATTATTATATATATTTTTTTCTCTGTATTGTTTTTTTTTTTTCTTTACATTTTTCTTTATGATTGTTAAAATATGCCTTAAGTGTTTGTATTCGAATAATGTTTAATAAAAAAAAATGTAAAAGTTATTATATAATGTGGATGTATTAATGTCACGTTTACCGCTGGGTTAAGCAACCGTTCGCACTAGTAAATTGTTAACCCTGTGTTTTGTTTTGATGCTAACGTTACAGTGTGGAACGATGCGGCGGTAGAACGTAACAGCAAGTTGTTTGGCAACAGACGACCAATAAACTGCCTCGGTGCTTAGCTCATTAAATATTCATGAGCTCCGTGCAGTTGCAGAAACTGTGGAACGCGCTGTACGAGAAAATTAAAAATGTCAAACAACTGCGTGAACTGGAGTGAAAAGATTTTTTGCTTTTGTGCGTTAAAAAGTGACTTCAGTCAGAACGGACAAACTAATTATAGAAACTTCCACCGAAGGACCAGCAGTTATCAAAACAGCTCGTGAGAAGTTTTCGTCATAAATATGCAAAGGGTTTATAAATGTACAGTGCGAAACGAGATAACCCACGAATGTATTTACTCAGAATTTTAGAAAGGCCATGAGTTATAACAATTTCACGTGTGAAGAGTCCAACAGTCTATGCAAAAAAAAAAAAAGGGGGCAAAGAGGTTGCCAGTCAGCCTTAACAACTAAATATTGGACCTCTGAATGCATTTACATTTCTGTGCATAGGTTGCATACTACAGCCATGGTGCAAAGTTGCTGCTGTGCTGTTTCTCTCACTTTCCGCAAAAGCATGATGTCATAGAAGACACGTTGACGCCTCCACCAATCAGAGACAAGAACGGCTAGACACTGCATCAAAACAGGATTGAACCGCTTCGAACAATGGGTGGAAACTTCAGATATTATGCCGAAAGATCTGTCATTACTGTTTTTAATATGTGATCTTATATAGAATTCATGGACGTAATTTTTCCGAAATAAATGAATAGATTGAACACCGAAACGAATCTTGATTTTAATAAGGCTGTAGCATGAGATGAGCAAACTGTGTGGTCACCATTCATTCAAGCTACTTCACTGACACCTGAAAGAATCCTGAAGTATAGTCAGAATAGACAAATGTGCTGAATATCACGCATTTAGCTGATTTAAACGGGATAGTGAAAATGCGGCATCCAGGTCTATTGCCAATTCATTATTTCTAATGAATGATGAGTCTGTCATGTAATGTTCCATGTGTATATGGTGTATTTTTTTCGGTTTGATTAAGCCAATAGAATTTAACAAGTGAATACATAAATACAATAGAAAAGGAAAAGAAAGATATATGCATGCACACAATAGTGTCTACAGGTCCACCGGTCAACAAGTACTGTGCAGCATCCAAAGTATGTCATGTCATCCTGGACCACTGAGCAACCCACCAGTACATTCAACTGCTCTTTTCTGGACAAATCTACACTGAGAGCTTGTTTGATCTGTATGCTTACCTCTTTCATGGCCAATAAGGATGTCTCTATGATTCAGATATTCCACTTCTTCTGTGTAATTTTGAGTGTAGGCAGTGTTGGATCCAGCATTTCGTGATTCTGTCCAACGAACTTTTGCGAATCCTTTAGCATGTATTTTAAGTGACTTCACACGAATCTCCCCGGTGACTTCAATAATAACTCTTCCTGAGACCGAGTCCCCGCTGGAGAAAACAGGGACATTGCTGTCATTTAGACAGTCGTAGCTTACAATGAAGCTCTTCACCTTTCCTAGCACCATGGTGGCAAGAAAATAAAATGTACAAAGTTCTGTAGACAAAACAAAACCACAAAGCAAAGTCTATGAAAATAATCTCTTATGAAAAAAAGCGAGAGTTAACACTGGATAGTGTCATTGAGATGCGAGAGCTGAATAACAGCAAAAGATGCTGTTATCGCGTCTCGGTGAAGGCTTGATGGTCTGCAATGAAAGACAGCGAAATTTCGCCACCGGCTCACTTTAAGCGCTGCTCTTGTGAAAAACAAGTTAGTGCGCATGCGCACGGCTGCTATCCGTCCCCCTTCTTCCGCTCGCTTTTTGTGCAGTTCTCTGACCGGGACTCAGGAGACAAATAACAGAACAGCTGATCAGTGTATTAAAAGAATACGTGGAAGTCTAGATATCCCCCCCCCCCCCCGCCCCGCCCGCACGGCGACGCGCCGACAACGAACGTCCTATGTCAGAATTTTCATTTTTGGGTGAAAATGTCCAATTATTCCCATTCCTAAACCAGGAGGGGAGACTAACACCCCCCCCCCCCCCCCCCACACACACGTTTAGGTAGAGCCCCACATTCATATTTGAACAGTTTGGTGATAGAGTAACATGTTATAGATTATTAAGTGAAGTTGGGCTCTGGTTACTCTCAGTGGGTATGCACAAAAGGAACAAAATATAGCTTAGACAATTTATTGCCCCCCCCCAACATATTGGGACTCAAACAATACATCTGATTTTAGTCAACATATTGTTTTACCGTTTGCACCTGAATGCAAAAATGGTTTTAGGTGCAGATAAAGAGATCAATATTGCTCACGGCATGCTGCCATGTTACATTTTGATAAAGATGGTGATTTGATACCAATTGCACCAGTTTTTATATCATAATATATGTCACTTGAACTTGTGTGTTTGTAGGAACCTCCTTTTTAGTATTTTTTTTTTTCAGATATTAGGCCAACTCACTCCCCACATTTTCATATTTCTATATTCTTAATTTCATATCTTGTTTCTATATTTCATGATTCCTGTTTAAATGGGTTTGTGTTAAACGTTGTGTAAATTCTCTTTTCCATGGTATATGCAGCTTCAGTAGCACATTTGATGGCACACGGATCAGTATTAGGCTATAGAGGATTTTCGTAATTTCACTTGCATTTATCTGCTATAGATCTACAGTATGGTTCAGTTATGAAAACTTATGCGCCACCCGACGGCTGCACAAACTCTTGCGTCCCTCTGTGTCTTGCTTTAGTCGCGCGTGTGTGAACGAGTTACGCTGGTTTCTGCTGCCCTCTAGGGGTTGGTTGGAGAACAGTAACTTAGCATTTTCCTTTGTGTGAGGTGGAGTTGAAGGTGGAGATATTTGTTGAAATTCTCATTTGAATTTACCTAAAGCGAAACAGACATATCCCCATCTAGTAAAATGCAAGACGTTTTGGGTTTTGATATTAAGATGTTTGAGAGTTTCAAGTTTATTTTATTTTAAAACTTGGACTTAACATGTGAGACAAAGATTTAAGCAGGGGGTTAAGGTAGGCCCTTTGGTGTCTGGTGATTTGTGATGTAGTAGTTTCTCTTGGGATTATTTGTGAGAATTTTAATCCATAACTGTAGCACAGTGGAGCAATCCTCTTTTATTTTCATAGATATTTGTTCAGACTTGTTACAGTCTTACTTGAAAATAATGATCATAACTTTGGTAAAGAATCTCATACAAACAGTGGTTACAGTCGATAGATTATTTCATAATGGACGGAGGTTAAAAGCACAAACAGATAAGCTGCGATATGTTCTGAAAAGAACACAGTATCAACAAAACTGCAGTAATATCATCAAAATAAGTTTTAGTAGTGATTAGAGTTTATAAGGCACAATGTAAAAGGCACCTGAGCTTGAAGGCATGCAGATAAATCCATAAAGTTCTCATTGACACAGCCCAAATCTGGCTGGTAAAGGACACTAATAAGGCACTTTTGGAGAGGATTCTTTAGTGCTTTGGATCATAAACTGGTGCAGATGGAAACGGATGGAAACCAGGCTGGATGGCATGTGGATTTGGATAGACCCCTGCAGCAGCTCCTAAGTGGGGCAGCACTGTAGGGTCATTAAGTCCTGCAGGTGGAGGAGGTAGTTCACCAGGAATAGGCACAAGTTTAGGCTGAGGTGGTGGATATGGCTGGAATCCTCCAGGTGGGCCTTGCCATGGACAACACTGTTGTTCAGCTGGAAGAATAACCATAGGAAATCTGACTTCTGGATCTGAGGCAAAAGACACATCCAGATACACCTGAAAGACAGTGTATGGAATAGTTCCAAGTGATTTGATCATTTTTGGGTATTACTTAAAAAAATTACAATACTAAGGAAGACTAAATAGCACCTTGAGTTCATACTGCACTTTTAGAATTCTGCAGTTTTCAATGGTGACAGTCAGGTCATGTGGAAGCTTCATGTTAACTATGAATTTTGACTTTTCTCCAGATGGGATGCGATCTCTAGTCTCTTCGATTATGTATTTTAATCCTCTTTTATTTCTTATGCCAGCGATGAATGTCTGTTGCTGCTTGAGGCTGTACTTTAACTTGACGTCACGAGATGAAGAGTTGTCAATGTCGACAAAAACTCTGATTGTTTCACCTGCATCAGTAATAAGAAAGTAGAGGTAACGTACATCAATAATAAAATTGCTGCTTTGGCATTGCAGGCTAGTGTCTTCAGTTTAGGCGGCTTTGACAGTTGCGCTTGAGAGCTATGACTACATCACCTTGCATATAGCCAGTTTTGTCTGTTGATACAGTGAGTGACATTTTTCCTGAGCTGAATAGTTTCATCCTTTTGTCTTGTGTGCCAGATTGTGGTTGCTGTATGAAACAAACAAACAAACAAACATATTTAAATAACTAAACTAGTATCACATTCAAATTCCTCTATAGGTCACAAGCAAATCTCATTACTCATGACTGAAAAGTGCTGTAGTGCTTTATGTGGTCATGTATGCAATACATATATATTAGAAAATAAGTCCATTGTCACATGCATAATAATAGGTTTTTAATGTATTCAGAATAACAATTAGCACATGTACAATTTATTGATTTTCTAAAATTACATTTAATGTTTATAATTTAGAATAATAAGCAAATAATATGGTTTTATTAAAGCAAATGTTTACAAATATGCAAACAATATGACTGGCCCTTTTTTAATATTTGTTTTAGAGGATGGTGATGATTTGGCGGTTAAGTTTTACTTTTAATATAACATACTGATGTTCTGTACATTGAGTTTATGGGGTGTTAATCACACATTGTTATTAGTTCACTGTTTGCACATATTTACACAATAAAGAACAAATGTCATTGAAGATGTGAAAGAGAGGAATTCTTCAAAAGTATCACTGACTGTCGAGGCAGCTGAAATCTGAATAGAAAAATATGCCTTCCTGGCCTAATCACTGATCCATCTGAGGAACATAAGGCATTAGTACAGCATGAGTTACAAGAGAGTTGTAATGAAGCTTCGCTGGTCTACTGTTAGCAAACAATCTTTTCAGGATTCATATGACTTATATGTCTGAAAGGTATATGAGAACTCTTACTTACAGGTTTCTCCGCTTACAAGAGTGGTATTCCTTTGTTCTTGTCCTGTAGACATCACAGCATGAAATGTATTTTATCCATTATTATTCTTCATTATTTCTTTATTCTTTACTGCAAACATCTATTTTTCAAACATAATCTGTCCTGACTTTGACTTGTAAGTTTACTGTTGGCATTTATTTTCCATAATACATATGTGTATTATTTTATTTATATAATAATTTAAACACTAATACTATACTAATGATACTAGTAATAAAATTTTTAATATATTTTATAGATATTTATGTATATTTTGTACAATGTCACCTTTCTTTGAGCTCTCTTGAATGAAGTATTGCTTTAGTTTGAAGTATCTCTCACGGTCACGGTAGGTTCTTTCATCATCGCCTGATTTTTCAGTCCAGCGTACATTTGCGTCCCCCGTCAGCTTCACAACAAAACTGTCCACTTTTATTTATTTGGTTACCTCCAAAACAACTCGTCCCTCTACAATATCCCCACTAGTAAAAGTATTGCTTTCATTAATTGGATCATAACGAAGACCGAGCTCTTTGATGCAGCTTGACATTTAAATTTTTTTTTTGTATGTATGTACATATGTACACTAGACTAAATATTCAAAGACAGCTACATGCTGGTTCTTCCTGTTCTCATGAGTGAAGCAGGAGTGACAAAGGTCACTCAAAAAAAATAAAATTCTTGAGGGAGTGGCACTTCATACACCTGCCTGGTCAGCACTGATCTTTCAGTCCAGAGTTCACAGTGATAGATGGAGTCCTGATTGGCCGGGGGACCTGCTTGTTTACCACAATATAAGATGAATCTTATCTTTAATAAGGCTGTAGCAAGAGATGAGCAAAACATTTATACAAAAAAAGTAAGATTATGCATACACACAATAGTGTTTACAGGTTCGCTTGTCAGCTTGAAATGCAGCATTTAGTATGTCATCCTGGACAACTGAGCATCACACCAATTATTAATAGTATGCTTACCTTTTTAATGGCCAATAATGATGTCTTCATGCTTCAGATATTCCAGATTCCTTCTGTAATTTTGAGTGTAGATATGCGTATCCAGCATTTCTTGATTCTATTCAATCAACTGTTGCAAATATTTTTTTTAAATCACCATGAAATAAGAATGAGCAAATCTTTTTTTTCTTATGAAATGTTGACGTTTTTTATTACAAATGATTTATCCATGCACATCATTTTATTTATGTATTTATTTATTTACATGTCCTCATAATCTTTAATAAAAAAAAATTAACATTCCCACCGCCCACCGTATCTTTTCTGATGACGTGTGCACTGGAGTGAAGGTTGGGCAATAAAGTTGTCCAAAGACCAGATGAGTTTCAATCACTCCCCTCCAGCAACCTGGTACTCACTTGAAATTATCGTTTATTTCGTTTGCAGTGGCCACTTTCCACAATCTAATCAATTCCTACTGGACAAAAATCAATTTATGTCCTACAATTTTTTTCCTTGTGTAAAAAGCTTTTTCGTTCAGAAATATGTTACATAGTAGAGACAAGTCAGCCACAATTTCTGTTTCATGCCAAATCTACTTAGGATGTCAATAAGAACTCCTGACTCCGGCGACAGTTCCCCACTTGAGAAAATAT